TGTTTTTAGCTACACACCACTTAACCAACAGACACACACATTCACACATTGATTTTCTTCATGTTTTGACTACTGCTATGACCAGCTGCAAAGCTGGTGAGAGAGACGTCCCGGTTGACGTTTCTGTGTAGTATGGGGCTAGCCCAACCGAGGTGATATAATGTATAGGCCTGGTGGGTTCAGGGTCTTTTTCATCTTACATCTGTCTGCTTGCAGGATGGAGGTGCAAGATATCTGAGCGTGTAATGTTAACTTGACCTGTGATCCTTTGAATAAATCAGCAGTTTGAAGTTACTTGGACTGCTTCGTCTCTCAGAGTCAGTATGGTAAAAAGTACCGGGTACAACAGAGGCATTTTAATAGTTGTAGAATTTGTTCATGAAAATGTAGAACATGTGAAAAATCGTAGAACAGACAAGAGGAGCAGTAAAGACGTCTGCTCTCGCTTGCAACCTGGGTTTTCTTTGTCAAAGAGATGTTAACTTTAAGCATAAGCCCTCAGTATAATGTAGAACACCACGTTTGACTGTGACCTCAATAATAAATATAAAATTGATGTCTACACAATGTCAACAAAAGACAAAAGTTCCATACAGTTCAAATTTATAGCATAGCTGTCATTTTGTATTAGATTGTACTGGTGTACCTAATATAAAAGAAAAAATCTTATCAATCTACAGTGATTAAAAAACACTGAAGAGGGTGTGAGACACAATGGGGCTCATGAAGTTCTCTGCCAAGAAACACAAACAGCTTGGCAGTAAAAATAGACTTGGACTAAAAGCGGAGGGCTGTCGGAGAGCGTGGCGTGGTGACTAAGGTCATGAAGAGAGGAAAGAAAAACTGTGGAAAAGTTTTGTCTGTACTTGATGTTTGCTAGCCCCTGAGCACAGACTGTAGCTGCAGCCGGAGAACACAACCAAAACATAATAAAACATCAAGAAAGCCGTTCACTGGAATTTGTTAGTGAGTGAATGAGACCCGTGGGATTTCCCCAAATGGAATTTCTAAACCTGTAAGGCCTAAAAAAAGTCCTTGAGGCATCTGACTCAGGTAGTTTGACAAAACAAGAAAGATGTGAGGACTTCCTCTCCCTGCACAGAGAATGAAGCTGTTGTTCTCAAATAGCCGTAGAAGCAGCACAGACTGACAGCTTTGTGTTTGTGTTTACACAGCTGACTCAGCTGTTTGGATATGAAGTGTGTGTTCATCAGCTATTCTCTGGTTTCATTGTGTTCTTTGTTCTGGAGGGCAGTCTTCTCTTAGACACAAGTCTCGACTGAACCTGTTGGGTTAGGCTCCATCAGAACCACACATCAGAGGTCTTCACACCTGATCTGAGCAGATGGCTTAAATACTAACTGCGCATGTCGTATTTAATTTTCTAGTGCTGTGTGACAACACAGCTTATGAGGTAGGTCTGCTATAAACAGACCCTTAGGTTGTGCTGATTTAAATGTTTTGTTGCAGTGCCGCTCCATCCAGCGCAAGGCCAGAGTGTAAAGTGCACAGTTCTGGTAGTTTGTGTAAAATGCACACAGTTTTCCTTGTGATGAGATAAAATAGGTTGGGCATGGTGACTTTCCCCTTGTTATATTATTAAACATTGTGCAGTGACTTGGCACCTTCTCAGTTTTTGGATTCATTGATCTGAGCCAAGCAGATTCCTGAAGACGGTCACGGTGCCGCACCCTGGTTGAAACGTTTTTGTTGGTAATTCTGGATGTCACAAAAAGGACATGTATTTCCTAGTGAATAATTTTCCAAATATATCATCACTGTAGTCATTTACTGTGGCAAAACAATGTCTGACTGGATGAACAGCATTCCTCAGAGATGATATCTCACCTTAAAATAGCATAGACACAATTACAAATGATGAGCGGTTCTCAACCGACCGTCAGCTGGCTCCAGTCGCTGCTGTGTTTCCCAGTAGATCACCTAAAATCTCAGACTCACTGCCCACTCATTAATATCAGTAGTAGCTGGGCTCCACCCCGCGGCCTACAACACCGAGTCTGTCACTTACTGCAAACAGAGGAATGTGGATTGCAGAGTGGTGACAATAGTCTCCATTAAACATGTTCTACCAGTTAATCTCCCTAAACCCGACTCACACAGACATGTGTGTTAACGGCGTTGAGTCGTGTTAAAACGCAGTGATAATGTGGATTTGCCAGATACTGAGGGTGAAAAGCTGCTTCCTGTTAAAACTATAAACGGTTAACAGGAAGTGTCAGCTTCTCAGTCAGAGGCCTGATATCATACAGACTTAACATGTTCATTCATTTACATCTGTTTCTAATTTGATAGCTTTATTTCCAGGGTCGTTTTTGTTTGGTTTATTGATGGCACTTCCTGGCCACTTTATTAGGTACAATCCAAAACAACAGGTTGGCAACAAAGTCTTACCTAACAACCAAAAAAAAACAAAAAAAAAAACAAAATATTTTATTTAGCTTTAACAGTAACTTCATACTTTGACTTCCCTATATTTGTTGTAACTTTTGTTACAATTTATTTCTCAAACTGATTTAATAATACAAAATGCAGTATAATCATAAGACTAATGATCCTCGGTGGGAAATTCACAAGCTACCCAGCAGTACTTCAGATTATATAGATATATTTACCAGCTACAGCATTAAAATGATGAACACAATAATGCATCAATAATTATAATCCAGTAATATTAATGTGCCATTTTGCATAATAACTACTTTTACTGTTTGGACTTTATATTTTGGTGTTAATACTTTTGTACTTGTACTACAGACTATTTTTACAGTGTGATATTCCTACTTAAGTAAACAGTAGGAGAACTACTACTTCTTAAAAATGAAATCTTTATTAAAAAATAAAATGCCTATTTTTAAGCTTAGCATCTTATTTAAGCGGCCTTCACTGGGTTTCCTGTACAGTGGAGTACAAGGCATTTTGCAGCATTGTGACAGGCGGTGAGATGGAGTCAAACCAGTTCAGAGTTGTGTAGCTACGGTGCTTGTAGGAGACAACAGTTCGTCTTTGTCTGGAAAGACACTGCTCTGGGAGTGAGCAACAATCTGCCACCGAGGTGCAAGTCTCCGTCTCACATAGCTGGTCACAATGAACACAGAAGGAGGGGGCCCTCGGGGTCACTGCGGTGTGGACACGGCTACACAATAGGCACTCCAGCTCTCGCACTATGCTGTGGACAGTTTACAGCTGGGTGATGAGTCGACAGAGTTACTGCTCAAACATCCACACACTTAATTCACTTAAAGATTTATTTCCTGTTTCAATGTACAGGGAGGGTTTGGCATGCAGCAACTTGGGACCAGTTAGGCTTTACAGGGATTTTAGGATTAATAAAACTAGTTATAAAAAGAGAAATGACCACAAACCTGGTACCTTTTCATGCTTAAACATTGCCATCTCTTTACATGTTAAGTGTCTGCTTTATTTAGGTAAAACAAAGCTGTACAGTGACAAATCAGCGCCAACACACGGAGACAAAACAGAAATGAGCTACCCAGACAACACAGGGGCTACAGGAAGATGAGCTGAGTTTATGATTTACTGTTTAAGGTATAGACTATAAAGTAAGGTAATGGAAAGATTTACAGTTTGAAATGTGTCAAAGGGCTGAGGATGTGCAGAGAGGAACCACCTCTGAAGATATTTCAAGAATGGTGACTCTACATCCACTTCGAGCATTTCTCACATTAGCTGTCAGGTCACAAAGCCAGTGTGTAATGGATATTTTAGTTCTGCTACTGGACTTTAATAGTCTTTGTCTGTGGTGATTTAGGGGACAAGCAGAAATGTCTGAGTTTCCCAGGTTCAAGCCCAGAGTACACATGGTCTCCCTGTGTCTGCGTGGGGTCTCTCCGGCTTCCTCTCACAGTCCAGACATACAGCTTAGGTCGACTGGTGAATCTAAATTGCCCATAGGAGTGAGAGTGAGTGTCCAGGGCGGACCCCGCCTCTCGCCCAGTCAGCTGGGATTGGCTTCAGCCCCCCTGTGACCCTATTCAGGAAAAAGTGGTATAGATGATGGATGGATGAAGAGATACAGTTCATAACTATAATAATTTCCCACCTTACTCTTGTTTCTTTTTTTAATGCATAGTTTCTGAGGAAAGAAATATTTTATTATATATTAGATTTTATTATGTGGACATCTGCACCAAGAGAAATTCTGATTTAACAGTTGGTACTATTTACGTTCCTTAATTGCTCTTTACAGCGTGCTTAGCCGCCTACTGTGTAAAAATAACTCGAGTGTAATTCCCCCTATAGAAGATGGTAACAGTGAAACTCGCTGTCACATGGGTTTAGGTCTTTTTACCTTTTTTTTCCTGTTAAGTGTTTCAGCTTTTAAATTCAGGTGAAATACATGTTTAACAGCTGTCCTTTGGAAAATTTAGACGGTGTGTTAAAAGGTGCTCTTTTAACTAATAGTTTTTTTTTCTCCAGGCTCTGGATGAGGCGGCAGCTAACGCAGCAGAAGAAGAACAAAGGCGTCTTCAAACCCATACTGAACTCCAGGACCGCTACAGGATGGACCTGGAGAGAGAGAAAATGGTACGCGGTAACTCCTCAACATCCTCACGCAAACGTTACGTCAGAACAAGTGGTAGAGCAAGAGCAACTAAAAAAAACACTTCTGGTGTTTGTTTTTTTGGGGTCAAATCTTAAATATTGCACCTGTTAGCTATCAGCATGCATCAGGCTAACTGAAATGTAGAAATGATTCACAGGAGAACAGAAAAACCACAATAACCCACAGTGAAGATAATTTAGAGTTGAGACAATAATGGTAACAGCAGGTGACTCATTCTAAGATGTGCCGGTAGCTGAACTACATATACATACAGTATGTGGTGAAGATGTCTGTGTAGCTTAAATAGCACTGACAGTTTGTCATTTGATTCTAAGTGGAGACAAGTACGTTTTACTCTAAGCACCAGAAAGCATCTACACCCTTTCGCCGCCTCTAGTGATAACATCTTGTCGTGTTCAGCGCAGTGTGGATGTGGTGTGCCAGTAGATGAGCTTTATCGATCTTAAATGTACAGTGACTAAAAGCAGCAAATAGCAAATCTTTACTTTTTAATAGCTGGAATTTAGCTAGCTTTGGTGAGAAGGTTTATCATGTCAAATCTGTGCCAATTCATAAACACCTTTAACAGAAGATCAATTTAAAAGAGATGCTGGCTAATCACAGGTATGTGTATGTTTGTACACAACGTGTACTCTACTACACTATGACAGTAGTAAAGAGTACAACACCAGGCTGCTCTGAAATCGTCACCTATTCATTATGACCACTTAAAGGCTCTTCAGGCGGAGCATTGATAGCGAGTTCCAGTTGAAGTATTTCATTTGTACATGTTCCTTGTTCAACAGGTACGGCAGCAGATGGAGCAGCAGGTGGCCCAGAAGTCCACTGAGCTGGAGCAGTACCTGCAGCGGGTCCGTGAACTAGAGGACATGTACAGTCAGCTGGAGGATGCTCTGGAGGACGAGAGGCACGCCAGACAGGACGAGGAGGCCGTCCGAAGGTTGCAGGCACGGTGAGTCGGCAGAGAGGGAGAAATACTCTCAGGCTGCATCAGACATGTTTCAACAGACAAGAAAATGGATGTGTAAACGTATATTGGCCTGAACCAATTCATTAATTGTACAGATTGTTAGGTATTTTTAGTCAGATAGAAATTAGATAGATACTTTATGTATTAGAAATGTTTAGTGGAGATAGGATGTCTAGTTAGACTGTTAAATGCTTAGGCATGCTTATGAGTTTCTACAGGGTACATCTGGTCAAGGATAACTAGAGAGAAGAGTTGATGACTGTCAGCAGACAGGATGTTTAATATTATTATTATGACGTGTATAACTGTAGCCTTAGCCATAATATGTTCTTATGTTTAAGTCACGACATGTTACTAGAATAAATCAGCACTGTTTTGAAGTTACTTGGACTGTCTCGTCTCTCAGAGTCAGTATGGTAAAAAGTACCGGGTACAACAAGTGTGGCTCTGTGAGACGAGACAGTCCAAGTAACTACAAAACAGTGCTGATTTATTCCATGAACACAGGCAAAAATTAACATTACACGCTCAGGTATCTTGCACCTCCAAACGGCACGCAGGCAGATGTAAGATGAAAGACCCTGAACCCACCAGGCCTATACATTATATGCACTCGGTTGGGCTAGCCCCATACTACACAGAAACGTCAACCGAGACGTCTCTGTTACCAGCTTTGCAGCTGGACATAGCAGTAGTCAAAACATGAAGCAAATCAATGTGTGTGTGTGTGTGTGTGTGTGTCTGTTGATTAAGTGATGTGTAGCTAAAAACATTCTCATGACCTCTAGTAACATGTCGTGACTTAAACATAAGAACATATTATGGCTAAGGCTACAGTTATACACGTCGTAATAATAATATTAAACACCCTGTCTGCTGACAGTCATCAACTCTTCTCTCTAGTTATCCTTGACCAGATGTACCCTGTAGAAACTCATAAGCATGACTAAGCATTTAACAGTCTAACTAGACATCCTATCTCCACTAAACATTTCTAATACATAAAGTATCTATCCAATATCTATCTGACTAAAAATACCTAACTGTAACAACTTTTTTAAAGTCATCTCAGGCCGTCTGAAATCACTCAGTACTCACTATATAGTGTGTTCACAATTTTGTAGTGGTGTCTGAATGCTGAGTGTCTAAATCTGTCCTTGTATAGTGCACTCAAAAATGACTGTGTCTATGGCATGTACACAATGCAACGCTGTGTTTTATCAGTGGGAAAGTTACTGTTCAGCAGTTCCACAGCTGTTAGGGATGACACCAAATGACAATGATTAGTGTTGGAAACCTCAGTTTACTGCTCACTACTGAGTGAACTACTGAGTGTACATCATAAAGGAGGAATGAATGAAGGAGTGATGTCAGCCTTAAAGCACAAAGAGAAAAGTCAAACGTGAACCAGAGTAGTTGTTTTCTGGCGGTGTTAGCGCACCACACACCAACAGTTTAATATCACCAAAGAAAGCAATAATATGAAAATACTAGCAACAAAACAAATTGTATTCATATTGTCACAGCCTATCCAGCACCTGTTTATCAGCTGATAAAGATTCAGTATCATACATGCAGTCTCACAGGTAGTCTGTAGTTCATGTAAGCTGGCACCTCTGTTCCCACTGTGTAACAAGTAGTTTCCCAGCAAAACAAAATGTCTTCTGTCAGCTAAAAAGCTGGTATTAAACTCCTGCATCAACAACAAACATCTTCAGACCAACCACAAGTTTGTTAGCTCATAAGCATAAATAAAAACATACACAAACATGGTGTTAGCGGTCCAACTGAGGTGAGATAAATATATGTATTGCGAACGCCAGTTGTCTTCAGTTATCAGCTCCTCAGTGTTTACTTGACATTTAATGCACAGTTAACTGTCTATGGGGGTCTTTTAGCCTAAAGCCTTTATAGCCTATACTCTGCTCCTTTAACATACAACTTCTGCTTCCTTCTTCCCCCCCCGTCCTTTCTTCCTCTGTGCTGACATTTACTTTCCACAGTGTTTGATTAACCCGCTGTGTCAGTCCTTTAGATAACAGACCATAAAGTGTTTGCCGTCATCCGAACAGCCCACCAATCTTCTACCATGTTAGATTAGGTTTGTTGTAAAGCAGCGTGAAAGCAGTGTAGAGATTTCTAGGTGTGAGGTCAGGCTAAAGGCAGGGCTGGAGTTACTGGTCTGCAAGGATGTTGTCAGTAGTTTAGCTACACTTCCTCCCTGGTAGATAATGACCCACACTAGTGTTAACAGATGTTTTAGTGTGAATGGAAGTTCACCAGATCTGCATCACAGGACCATTTAGATAATAGTAAGAGACACTGATAACTGAGAGGAAATCTGGAGTAAAGTAGTCAGTGTCATAATGTAAAAGTACTACAGTTCATAACTGCACTATAGCACCACCTACTGACACACCAACCACCTCTATCAATTTATACATTTGCTTAATTGTATTTATTACACTGGGGAAATACTTTGTATTCACATTCATTGAGATTTAGAGTTGCCATTTCCACATTTACTACTTTATGTGGCCTGTTCAAGTTTGTTTTAAAACAACTGACTGAACATGGGGTTATATTGTAGTACCGAAGAAATTAGAAATGTCAGTCGGTCAGTAAAAGAAAGGAAGAATGTATGTATATTATATTCTGTTCTTACCCTTGTTAATGTCTGTGTGGAGCAGATTACTGGAGGAGGAGGCTGCAAAGAGGGCAGAGCTGGAGCAGACCCACCTGCGGCAGCAGCGGGCAATCTCAGAGACAGAGGCTGAGAAACAGGAGCTGGAGAAGGAACGTCTGGCTAAAGAGAGTGCCTTGCAGGCTGCAATGGCACAGCTGGAACAACTGGAGCAAGAGAGGCTTGGAGCCCTGGAGCAGTACCAGGTCAGCTCAGAGGACTGAGACATGGGAAATAACTAGGGTCTAGAGATGCACCAGTACGTCGGCACAGACCAAAAGCATAGCGTGTGCAGTGCGTAGTGTCTCACGTGCACCACAGGTGAAGCTCGTGCCCGTGTATGTACCAGGTGTGTGTTCACTGGTGCAATGGAACCACCTGGTGTACAACTTGAATAATATTCATTCAAGAATAGTTATAAGCCTTGCAGCTGAAATTTGTGAGCTTATACTGCAGTTTTTAAACTACATTAGTTTTGAAAGGGGAAAATTAAAACTGTTTTAATTCTTTGCAGGATTACATTTATACGCTTGTCTTGCTTTATTTTTTTTGGTTCTAATACCAATTTGACTAGGCATGGATAGCATATACCACTACGCTGACCAACAGTGTGCTCTAACAACGCACGTGTAACAGTATCACAGGTATGAACAGATACTTCCCATCATTATGGATAGTGAGGATAGTTTTCAGTGTTGGGGAAGAGCTGAATATACCCATACACATTCATTAAGGAACTGGTGTCACTGCTGGATGACATGCAGCTATTTCAGCAGTAAAGTTAATATTAATTACATATTTGTTGATGCAATGTACAAAAGAGTGATGTACAAATATTAGGTTTCTAGAGTACTCTACAAACACTCTCCTTATATTTTAATAACTGTGGTGCATTTTCTCTTTATGTATGAGCCAGACAGTGATGAAGAAGCTGGAAGACGCAACAAACAACACAAAGACCTGGAAGCACAAGGTGGCTGAACATGAGGGACTGTTACGGCTCATTCAGCCAGGTAACAACTCACTAACCGTTAGACGTTTGTACTTCTGTCTTTGAGAACCAATTAGAGCACTTCATCTTGAGCGTAGGGGCATTTTGTCCAGATGTGGTTCTGTTGGCTGCAGAGCGGTTTGCAACCAAGTGAGTGAGTAATGCAAACTACAACTGCCACTTGTGGGGTGGATGCTGAAATGCTGCGGTTGCTTATGTGTTCTTTGAAGGACCCTGTGATATTTGGCCATTAAGTGTTAAAGCCAGACACTCCCACCAGGATTTGAACCTGGTGCTTCTATTGGAGACAATAGTTGTGTTGCATACACCACAGGAGTTCAGGAATAGCTTTACCACAGTGCTCAGCCAGCATGCCTACGTTACTTAACTGTCCCTGCACAACCCTTTTTTGTCATTTTATAGCCATTATAAACTGCGCAAACAGCCATATCCTACAGCAGAGACTGGTCCACCCGAAGGACAAAACACCCAGACATAAACAGAGTGATGTGGTGTTTGCAATTAAGTGTACAGTGCCTTGCGAAAGTATTCGGCCCCCTTGAACTTTGCGACCTTTTGCCACATTTCAGGCTTCAAACATAAAGATATAAAACTGTAATTTTTTGTGAAGAATCAACAACAAGTGGGACACAATCATGAAGTGGAACGAAATTTATTGGATATTTCAAACTTTTTTAACAAATAAAAAACTGAAAAATTGGGCGTGCAAAATTATTCAGCCCCCTTAAGTTAATACTTTGTAGCGCCACCTTTTGCTGCGATTACAGCTGTAAGTCACTTGGGGTATGTCTCTATCAGTTTTGCACATCAAGAGACTTAAATTTTGCCCATTCCTCCTTGCAAAACAGCTCGAGCTCAGTGAGGTTGGATAGAGAGCGTTTGTGAACAGCAGTTTTCAGTTCTGTCCACAGATTCTCGATTGGATTCAGGTCTGGACTTTGACTTGGCCATTCTAACACCTGGATATGTGTATTTGTGAACCATTCCATTGTAGATTTGGCTTTATGCTTTGGATCATTGTCTTGTTGGAAGACAAAGCTCCGTCCCAGTCTCAGGTCTTTTGCAGACTCCATCAAGTTTCCTTCCAGAATGGTCCTGTATTTGGCTCCATCCATCGTCCCATCAATTTTAACCATCTTCCCTGTCCCTGCTGAAGAAAAGCAGGCCCAAACCATGATGCTGCCACCACCATGTTTGACAGTGGGGATGGTGTGTTCAGGGTGATGAGCTGTGTTGCTTTTACGCCAAACATAACGTTTTGCATTGTTGCCAAAAAGTTCAATTTTGGTTTCATCTGACCAGAGCACCTTCTTCCACATGTTTGGTGTGTCTCCCAGGTGGCTTGTGGCAAACTTTAAACGACACTTTTTATGGATATCTTTAAGAAATGGCTTTCTTCTTGCCACTCTTCCATAAAGGCCAGATTTGTGCAGTATACGACTGATTGTTGTCCTATGGACAGAGTCTCCCACCTCAGCTGTAGATCTCTGCAGTTCATCCAGAGTGATCATGGGCCTCTTGGCTGCATCTCTGATCAGTCTTCTCCTTGTATGAGCTGAAAGTTTAGAGGGACGGCCAGGTCTTGGTAGATTTGCAGTGGTCTGATACTCCTTCCATTTCAATATTATCGCTTGCACAGTGCTCCTTGGGATGTTTAAAGCTTGGGAAATCTTTTTGTATCCAAATCCGGCTTTAAACTTCTCCACAACAGTATCTCGGACCTGCCTGGTGTGTTCCTTGTTCTTCATGATGCTCTCTGCGCTTTAAACGGACCTCTGAGACTATCACAGTGCAGGTGCATTTATACGGAGACTTGATTACACACAGGTGGATTCTATTTATCATCATTAGTCATTTAGGTCAACATTGGATCATTCAGAGATCCTCACTGAACTTCTGGAGAGAGTTTGCTGCACTGAAAGTAAAGGGGCTGAATAATTTTGCACGCCCAATTATTCAGTTTTTTATTTGTTAAAAAAGTTTGAAATATCCAATAAATTTCATTCCACTTCATGATTGTGTCCCACTTGTTGTTGATTCTTCACAAAAAATTACAGTTTTATATCTTTATGTTTGGAGCCTGAAATGTGGCAAAAGGTTGCAAAGTTCAAGGGGGCCGAATACTTTCGCAAGGCACTGTAGTCAGGAGTGTAATGACTTGTACATTGGTGAAACTAAGCAGCCGCTTCACAAATGCATGGCCCAACACAGGAGGGCCAACTCCAGTGGACCAGAGTCAGCAGTCCACCTCCACCTGAAGGACAAAGGACATTCTTTTGAGGACAGTGAAATCCAGATCCTCTCTAGAGAACACCACTGGTTTGAGAGAGGAGTCAGGGGCAGTGGACTCAGATACAACTTGTCATCCATCTACAACTCTGTTTTGAAATCTCTACCCCAATTCACACCAGGGCAATAGGTGTGGGTCCACAGGTGAGGGTTCAAAGACAGCTAACGACTCTCACCGATACCAGACCGTAATGACTCAGTCGTTAGGACTGTTGGCCACAAAAGGACTGGAACACCACCCAGGGGGATAAACACCTCCTGCTCACCACCAGTCAGACAGAACTGATGAAGCCTCTTGAATGAGAGGTGAAACGTCTTCTACCTAAAACTACATCCAGATTATTTCTTCTAATTTTTTCAGCGGCTCATTCAGTTACACAAGCGAGTAGTCATATGCCTCTAACTGGTCAAGTTTCAGTTTACATGCATGTCTGCCCAGACTCGTATGCAGTGAAGGCTGATTTGGAAAATTAATGCCCAAATTACTTCAGAACACCACATACTAGCTACTTCAATTATTTCTCTACACAGGTACAAATGTTGCCTTTGTCTAGTTTCCCAATAGATTCATTGGTAAAATTTGTAAAGCAGAAACAACAACTATTCCTTTTAATCCTGAGACACTCATCATACTATCTCAGCCAACTGTGTAGAGTCGATTCCTCAAAGCAAGTTACAACCAAACACAGTGCAAAAAGGCTAAAAGGAGAAAATGAGAGATCCCAGTTCTGCAGATATTTTGTCCAAAGTACAATTACGTCTTTGAGTTGAGAGTTTGGACAGACTGTGTTTAAATTAAAGATGATTGCGGGCTTAATTCAGGTGTTTTTCATCATTTCAAGCTAAAACACAAATGAAGATGCAGTTCTTAAATGTGAAATCTATAAATGTGCTTACATTTTTTACAGTTGCAAAAAAGCAAGTGAACCATTTGGTATGATCTGGTTTTCTACATGGTTTGGTCAGAACATGTGATCCAAGTCACAAATATAGACAAACTGTGTGCTGAAGCTCATACCACACAAACAGTTATAATATTTAATGTCTTTACTGAACCCAGCTATTAAACATTCAAAGTGCTGTTGGTAAAAGTAAGCAAACCCCTGGATTTATGAACTGGTTGAAGCTCCTCTGGCAGCAGCAACGTCCAACCAGCTCTTCCTGTAGCTGTGGATCAGACCTGCACCACGTTGGGGTAACGTTTTTAACAAAGAAATGTCAGCTAGTACAGGTGCAAGGCTGGAGACTGACATTCAATCGTGAGTAGAGGCAGGTCACTGCTGGTTTTATTCTCTGTAGGGGGATTGTTGAAAAATACTATTAATATAGAAAATGACTGGCCTCATTCTTTAGCCTCTCAATTTGCTGCAGTGATCTAGATGTGTACTTCGGGACACCACTGTGACATCACTATTGGGTGTTATAGGTGCGACAGAGAACATTTCCGGCCACACCCATCAGTGATTCTAGCTTTTGGCAGAAATGGAACACACCTGACTGAAAGTTTGCTGGAATTACTCTCTACATTTCTTATGGGACTTGTATTGATCGTCCTTAACTTGTCATCTCTAATGCATTTCCATTGAAGATTTTACAGTTAAGGTGAATTATGGACATTTGTGGTCCATCTAGAATGAAATATTCGTACCTCTATGGTGAACTGTCTCATGAATTTGTCCCTCTCCAGGTGCCAAGGGGCAGCAGCTGATCACCAACTGGGGCATAGCAGCGTTTTCTGAAGCAGAGCTCAGCCTAAGGGAGAAGGAATGGCAGAAGATGAAGAACCAGGCGACTCAGGCTCAGTAGAGCCACTGTAAGCCCTGAACCTTTACCATGTCTACAGCTCAGAGGAAACACACTGTTGTGCTAACACATATCTAAGTAGTGACTGGAAGGAGTTCTCTGGTAACCAAGTTTCAGTGGAATCCATATATGTGATTTGCCAGGATAATATAAGGCATTTTGTATTAAAGGAGGATTAAATAATCAATGGACTCCATCCCTTGTATGAGTCTACCAGCAGGAACCAGCACAGATAGAACTGGTATGCTTTTAAACAATCCTCTGCCACTATAGATTACAGGAGCAACATAGACGATCCAGTCCAGTGGTGGAAGAAGTACTCAGATCCCTTATTTTAAAGTAAAAGTAGCAATGCCACAGTGTAAAAATACTCTGTTACAAGTAAAGGTCCTGCATTCAAACTGTTACTTAAGTAGTAGTACAAAGTATTAACATCAAAACATACTTAAATTACTACAAGTACTCATTATGCAGAATGGCAGACTTAAAATGAATGAATATTGTTGTTGTTGTGTACATCACATTTAATGTTGCAGCTGGTAAAGAGGAGCTAGTTTTAATGAGCTTACTATTTGAAGTAATTTATATACTGCTGGGTAGCTTGTGAATTTTCCACCAGAGACTAATAAAGTCTTATGATTATACTGTAATTTTTGTATTAATCTTGTTCTGAAACATAACTAAAGTTATAAAATAAATGTAGCAGAGTAAAAAAAGTGCAATATTTGCCCCTAAAATGTGGTGAAGTCAAAGTATGAAGCAGCACAAAATGAAAATATTCAAGTACAGATACTTAAAAATGGTACTTAAGTACAATACTTGAGTAAATGTACTTGGTTACGTTTTACCACTGCTCCAGTCACATTTTCACCTTGGGATTAAGTTCACCACTTCTACCAGAGATCCAGCAAAAACACCGGGAAAATGCTTGAATATTCGCTTTGCGTTGAAAACGAGCAGCTAAAGCCTAGATTGTTGGTGTGTTCAGCACGTAAGGAGTTTTCTTTCCAAAATGGGGTATAGAATGTTACATTATTTGCAAAGACAAAACTGCTAAATTGGGGAAGCTGGGCGATATAGAGAAGTGAAGAAAGAAAATCCCACTGAGATTTCTAATTAAAAATCCAGCCCCAGAACACAGTTTTAAATAGTACATTGTAAATTTCACTACATTTGCTTACACTATAATGATTTACTTCTTTAAAATGAATTGACATTAACATGATATTTGTTTTTACCGGACTTGAATGAACACCATTTCCCAGAAGCCCGAGCGCATCGCAGCTGAACCATCGCCACCGGTCGACTGGCAGGAGAATTCAACTGAGGTCTCAAGTCGAGAGACGGAGCTACATCTTAACTTTTTAAGCTGTAAAGAAACATGAGAGAAGTGAAACTAATATCATAAACACAGTTAATGCAGTGCTACTTGGACAGCTTACGTTCAGAAGAGTTAAGTATATAACTTGTGTATAATGTGTGTACAGCCATGCTGAAAACCGATCATGGGAACAGTCCTCTTTTTTTAAGGACTAAAAAATCCTGAGAAAAGTGCTTACTCTTCTTACAATGAGCGATTAGAAAAAAATGCTAATGTATAGAGTGACTGATGCTAGTGGAACAGAGGCTAACCAGATGTGATGACACGACTTCAGCTCTCTATATTAACACTTTTAAGAACCACCACCAATGCATTATATTAGTCATTAGAGGGCCATGGCTCAAAACTGTGCGAGCTGAGCTAATGACACACCAGTGTACAAGAATGCATTCAACAGCTGAATGAATTTTAAAAGAAGTCAACATATTTCAGATCATCTGGGCCTCGGTAGGCCTGCAGCCTGTTAGGTACTGAGGCTACCAGGCTTTTGTACATGAGATGTTAGTACTTCACAGGCAGTATTAACAGCCCACAGCTGACCATGGTTAAAATCTTACCAAGCTAACAACATAACTTACCAATATCAAATGTGATGATCCTTAAAGTGAAACAGTATGTCCACCACTACCTTTCATCATTTTCTGTCTTTCTATTGAATGCACTACTGTCGACCACAGTCTGACATGTCCTACACAAATTGCTTGCATCTGTTTTGAGGTTCAGACTTCAGAGCTGCTGAACTGCATCCATCCCGATGCAAGGTCCTTGATAAAGCATAAGCTACTGAAAGTGCTACAACTGGTTCCTGTGACTACTTTCCTTACTCAATGGGACCATTTTACATGAAAGAAGGGATTTTTGTAAATATATTAACAATGGCTTTCTGGTTAACAATTAGTTTTCCTTACTAGACCTAGCTGAAGGCAGCATTGAAAGAAAAATTAGCCAAGTGAATCCTCTCCCATTTGTCTGCTTATGTGCCAGAAATAGGGCTCCAGGCATGAACGCTAACTGTAGAACATTTGCACTGCTGTTGCACTAACCATCAGTGCCTTTGAATCTGCCATTAGTGAACATTGTGATTTCTATTTTGTTTATATATGTGTGTGTGTGTAAAAAGTTGAAGACAACTATATAATAAAAGAAGCTGAATAACTGGCTTCCTCATTTATATGTAGGTTTGCATAGAATACACAGATCACAGACAAAACACTACAGAGGAATGTTTTTTTAAAATTACACAAACTACATTGGAGCTGCAACTGTTCTGATATGGATTATTATTAATTTTTAGAAGTGATAAATTCCTGTTCTTGCTGTTATATATATCACCAGTTTTCTCTGGTGTCTGGACAAAACAATACATTTAAAGACAAACTGAGTTTGACATTATCATTTTCTGACAATCAAGAAAATAATCCGCAGATTAACAAAAACAATAGTTAGTTGCTGCCCTGAACTACATATAATACTAGCCAACTATGCATGTCAATCTGAAACGACTGCTTTAACCTCCTATGTTCACCAGAGGGTGCTACAGCGCCACAAACACCAAACAGATTACAGAACTATGGTATTTCTGATGACAGAACCAACAGAGGAGCCACAGGGTCAGGTGTCAGTAAATGGACCCAGTATAGATCATCTAGGGACAGACTAGTTAGAGAAATGGTGACTTTACATCCATGACTTCACTGTTTAGATGCAGGAGACAGACAACATCATGTCCTGTTTTATGCTTGTGTAATTCTAACAATGATCAAATAATTTGTCATTCTTAGAGTTCAAAGGCAAGAAGTTTATTAAAGAGTAAAGATTAACAGTAAGGCCAATTACAGGTAGACACTGACTGTTAATTTACACAAAACCATATGCAGTCTATTTATGTGGATTTTTTTTTTTTTGCCCTTTTATCCAAAAGTTTTTTTCCCATTTGAAAAAAGATACTAAATTTGTTGGATGTTTCCATACAGACCCTTAGCAACGTTTTCATTACAATGAGCAACTCTGGTGACCGATACACAAACAGTTTTAGTGTTTAGTACTGAAATGAGTCAGTTACTTATTTGGATGAATGACAAAGCTCATCTACAACTAGTTCTATAGTTAATTATCTTTTATCAACATTTTCTAGTTGCTTCTGAAATGTAAGGGGTTTGAATATCGTAGGGTTCTGTACCACCGGTTGTACATAATTAAGATACAGACATCACACTGGACGCTGGGAAACTAATACTTTCAGCTGTTTTATGACATTGTGTTGACTTATTAAGGATTAATAAAAACAGCTAGTTAAAATAATTTGATAACTATAATAATTGCAGACTGCAGCACGAGATCATTAATCTAACCCACACACTTGATAAAGGCTTCTGCTGCTTGGTCCTACACATACATATGAGTCCAGATTGGGAGCGAATTGATATAATTATATTAATATTGTAAAAGTATTTCATCCATGTTGTCAAGACCTATCTGAAGGTTCAGATCAAAACAAACAAAAACAAACTGCTCTGGTTTGCTCACAATACCAGCTGGGAGGTTAATTGCATTAGGTCAGTTTAGACAATAAACAACGGGAAACAAATAAAGATGCTACTAAAAACATTCCTGGGGTGAACTAAACAGGTACAGTATTTAACTATCCTAACAATGTGCTCCACCGACAACGCTTTGTGGTAAATCTGCAGGTTCGGAATTTTCCTCCCCTGAAAGCAAAAAGAATGATCATCCAGTCCTGACAAGATTTGGTGTAAATGACAAAAGAAAAACTGTATCTCAGTGTTATGCAAAACAGACTACCTTGTCAAATTTCCACTCTTAGCAAGATTCAAAGATCCCCAACTAAGTTAATTAGCTCCATCTGCCCTCCATATCGTGCAACAATCGTTAATTTCAGCGAGACTGGACGGACCAAACACATACACACCAAATGCCTTCCCAAAAATCTGTGGTCCAGATGCGCTCAGCACATACCACAGCTGCACTAACATTGCTTTATGCAACAAAACGGCCCGTCATTAACGCCAAGTGCTGCACCGGATGCGCTCTATCAACTCCCCCGCCTACCATCCCTCCCAGCTCCCCAAACAGTCCCCCATAACCCCCAGCAGCGTCTGTATCCCATCATTCATCTCTTCTTTCAAACATCCTCACACTCAGCCGCCTGAGGTTATGAGGCTTGTGGCACACGTGCCGCATTCCTGAGAGATGATGCGAAACAGAAATGCATTAAATTCCTGATCTGGAATCCATTGCAGGGGGTGAGTGGCAGTTAGGCTGGAAAATAAAATAAAGCAGGGTTAGGGGTCTCACTGCCCCCTCAGGTACAACAGCATCTGAGATCAGTATCTGAAGGTGTCTGAGGAATTTGAAATATATAGGTTTCAAAAGTTTTACGAATAATGGTTATTTATAGCAAATGGGGATCTTGGAAGCAGAGGGTGCTCTTGAAACAATCAAATAAAACGCCTGCAGAACATCTACGATCTTTTGCACCATCACATATGACAATTCATGGACCCCAGGGGTGTGATGTAGCCATATTAAAAGTTCAGGGATGCATCTGGCGAGAAAGTAGACAAAAATAGCGCAACATTGCACCTTGTGATTACAGATTTCTATGGAAGAATAAAAATTCCCCAGAGAACTCATACAAGGGTCAACAACAGATGTCTTCCTCCACCCTCATAAAAATGAAAAACACCAAAAGCAGGTCCAGGAATTAACAGCAGCATTCCTCTTCACACCAACTACAGTGACTATTACTGCAAAGAGCAGCTCTGCCTGGTGGAATTTTACCTTCAGCCTTATTCTACCTGCATTTCATCCCATTTCATCGCCCTTCTGACATTTCACAACACATTAGAGCTGGATTTGTGTAATATGGGACTTGCACCAATGACTGAAGGTTTTAGTTTAGAGATTTCGTGAGGTTCAAGGGCGCAAGGAGACGGAATTTGGGACAAAGGATCTGGCTCTAATCAGCGCATCTGACTGAGGTTGACTCTGCACCCACAGGAAGGCCAAGCCCGAGGCCACAGCGGGGAAAATCAAACCCATCTTTCTCAATTGTTTATCCCAGACATAAATATCTTCTGACAGCACAAAGAGCCAAACTAAAGGTGAGCTGTGTGCCACTCTGACCTCCCATTTGTATTTTTACCATCACAGGTCAGAGGTTGATGTTGATACATGTAAAAGTGCAGGCACACAGACTCGCATTCACAGGCACATACGTACATGCATGCACAGTTTTCACACCTGGGTGCACATACAAAAATACAGAGGCTTCAAAATGAGTGCATTCAACACACCTGAATGACCACACTTGATGTACAGTATGAACGCTCCGTGCATACATTCATGCACCAAAAAATACAAGCAGCAAGTTGCAAAACTAAATACCTACAGACACACAAAGATGCACCGAAATAGGCACAAATGCACACACATACTTTTAAAAAATTCTGCCTGATATGAACTGAAATAAGCCAGCAGTGAGAGATGACTGCTTTTCTAAGTGGTCCTGCTCTGCAAGGAATGCTTTACGTGCAAAGACGGAAAGACTTCAAGAGTCAGTGTCATCCTCTTCCTCCCCCCATGAACACAAAAGAATGTGTGGCAAGGCGCAAATATAAAACACAAGTGTTTCTGTGAAAAAGAAGATGGAAAAAAATGTAACCCCCATGGACTGCACTGTGCTTCTGCCAGCACAAGAAGTTGCTCATTTTTCAATCAAAACTGTCTGACTTATGACTTAGCCAAGTTTGGAGCTGGTCCCCCACCAGAGCATTGTTTACCAGCATCCTACTTAACAGAGTATATGTAACCATGCTAAAATTACCTCCAGCACACTAAGCTTAAAGGAAGCAAGTCAGCAGAGTTCTCCTTTACCAGGTGAAAGGCCACATATTGAGGGTAGAACTACCTGCACACTCCTGTATCATCAGCCATTCCCTGAACACACGCCCCACGTCTCATCCTCTGGAATATGTGTGTCATCAAGGTAAAACTGCTGCTGCTTTTTATGACCACGGAGCAAAACAAACTGCTTTGTTCTCCTGTCAAAAAAACATGACTCAAGAGAGGGAATGGCACCTATAATGATCATCCTCTATTGAAGACATCGGTGCCACTCCACGGTGCTTCCTTTACTGGTTTTGTCAAATTTATATTGAACATCTTTTTGAGTCATGGTGACTTTACATAAAAAGTTGTGTCATAACATTTTAAAAATTGGAGTGTAAATTTTGGTAATGACACTCACCCGCTGACAATGTAATGAAATCCTTCTCAGACACAAACCTCCTTGTCACTGAATGCACATGTACTGTATGTGACTTAAGTCTATTAATACCGAGCCATTTGTCAAGTAAAAATGCAAAACAAACATTTTCTTGGTCTTCAAAGAGCCCATGGACTGCTTTTGTGTTTTCTGACTTATCTGCAATGTTACAATGATGAATTCTCATTTTAAATGTGACAAAGACAAAACAAACCACAAAAAAACAAAAACAAAGTTGTACCTATGTTGTTGCACTTCTATGTTGAAGCAACCTGGTTTATACAAGTCGCGAAAACTCTTGCTAGTGAGAGGATTTTAATGATCTATGGTGTTACTGTCAGTGCTATGCTACCTGTTGGAATTCATTTCACTACTTTGGGACTGTATGTGGACGTGTTGGGGAAGATGCAGCGACCACCAGTTGGATTTAACGACCAAAAAGCCATCTCTTTAATAGACAGATGAAGCCAAAAGTGTTACGTTGTCCAAAAGGCTTAGCAAATCCTCAGAACCAAAAACAAGAGATGACAGTACTATGTAAAGCCTTTTCTACCTCTAATGGCGCATATACCCTGTCCCATGTTCTGCTTTTGTTTCCACTGCTGTCAGCCTGCCCGGAGGCGAGTTCCCAAAGCTAAATCTCAGTCCTCCACAGGAGATAATAGAGAGGGGAGGGCATGGGCATCTCCAGGGCTGTTGCCCCTGACTGGTTTAACAGCAGTGTCATCAAATCTCAAGTAGAGAGTTACATCCATTGCGTGTGAGCATGTGCTCACACAATAAAAACAAGGTAAAACGAGGACTTCATCAAGCTGACTATGAGCAAAGTGGCAAAGACATCCCATTTCTGCAACT